TCAAATGAGCTTTGCATTCAATTAAACTTCAAAGACAAGGTATGTTCAATCTCCATATAGACAAACCAATTCAAATGCAAACAAAACTTTGTGATCCAGTGATCAAAACTCTTCCGTTACAACCACGAGTGCTTGTTAAGGGTTCAACCAGGGCGCTATAAAACACGAGCGGTGAAACGGAGATAGCGCCCCTGATCTTTGTGTGATGCGCGTACCCCCCGTATACATTAATTTAATGTCAATAAAAATGGAATTGGAATGTTTATGCAAAAAAGAGCTGAAAAAACTAAAGTAAAAACTGTTTTCTGCACATTCCTAAACAACTTGATGGTTTGAAGACATTGTTGAATTCATTGTCTGTATATCTGATGAAGGAAAGAGGGCTTTAAAAAGATTCATCATGAGTGAAATAAAAATTTGAAAAGGAATCGAGCTGATCGAATGTGGGCATACTCCAAAAATATTATACGAAAATTTTGGTATGAAATGGGATATTTTACTTCATAATGCGAAGGTAGGATAAACATTTTCATAGTAAGAATATTCTGACATTGCTTGGCTATTATTTTTCAATAATTATATAGCCAAAAATTGACCATGCATGCATTTAAAACAGCTAGAATTTGAAAAAAAAACAACTACAATTTGTTCGAACAATTTGAAAACTTAAATATATAACCGTTTTTGTGTTAACCATGAGCCGGCCTGCTCGGAATCCATTGAAACTTCATTGTAAAGTGTTTTTTACTAATTGATTTGATTTCTATTATTGGTATAACTAACTGCCGCCGACACTCCAAAAATATTCAGTGTGAATCTTTTTTCGTGCGACTGCAGTCGTTGACATTTAATACAGTGACAGTGTTACGGAAAACTATAAAGGCTGCAAAATACATCCATTTTATGAAAAAAGCACAAAAAAGCCCCGTTCAATTTTACGTGAGACATAAAGCCAAGTTAAATGTCTAAAGTTTGGTGTGTTCAAATTTATCTCAACCTATCTCAACGAGGAGAAAACACTATTTTAAATACGTCCGCGCTTTGTCAAAAAAGAAAAAATGTCGTCAAAATCGAGTTCAAAATGCATGTCTTTTCTTAACAATCGCTTCGTTCATTTTGCAAGTGAAATAGATACCAATTCTAGCAATATAAGCTGATACTAGATACTTCAATAAACATTTATAGTATGTATTTGCCAGGGTGGAAAGTTTGTAGGTTGCGCCAGGGCGTAGTAAAACACGGTCCTTTCTCAAAACGTAAACATGGCCGCATTCTCTCGGCAGTTTGTCGAGCTGACATGCTGAAATTCAAGGCTAAAAAAATATGTTTTGACGAAAAAGGCTGTCTTCTTTTAAAAAATTTCTGATATATTATGACTTGATTTCAGTTTTTACAATTTTTTAGGGGATGTTTCACACCTAGGAAAAAAACTACATGCAAAAATACAATTTTTCCGCGGTTCTTTTTCAAAACGTAAACATGGCCGTATTCTCTCGGCAGTTTGTCGAGCTGACATGTTGGAATTCAAGGCTAAAAAAATATGTTTCGACGAAAAAGTCTGTCTTCTTTTGATAAATATCTGATATATTATGACTCGATTTCAGTTTGTACAATTTTTTAGGGGATGTTTCACACCTATAAAAAAAACTACACGCAAAAATACAATTTTTCCGCGGTTCTTTTTCAAAACGTAAACATGGCCTCTAAAATGGCCGTATACGCTGTACTTTATCGAGCTGACATGATCTATATATTGTTTTTGAAACTAATTGTTTTTTAACTAATTATGTCTTTGACGGCTTGGGGAATGTTATTTGTATCTAAAATCAAATATTGTGGCAATATAATTAGATTGAACAATATTTAAAATGTTCCGCTTGATATTTTAAAAACTTTCGTGTTAACTTGCGTTGCTTCTCCTTGCGATACAAATGATGAACAGCACTATGTTCAGGGAAAAAAGTTATAGCAAAAAAAGTCCAAAAAAAGTCCGACTCTTAATTTTAATTATTCTCAAGTATGTTAATTTGGGAAACTTTTTGTGCTATCAAATTCACCTAGGACTACCTAGAGCGTTAAAAAACTCGTATTAAAACCTGACTTTGTGCGCAAAAATAACAAATTTTGAAGGGAACAAAAATCAAAACATTTCTTAAAACATTGACATTTTACAACGCAATGCGCTTTTTGTTTATTTTAATTAAGTAAAGCTGAAGTATAATAGTGTTTCTTTCAAATTACGTTAAATAATTATGTAATAATTTAAAACTTACCTATATTTTCGTTTGTTATTTCGTAGTCTTCGGCAAATCTTTTTGTTGCCATTTTTGTGCCGTTCTTTTTGTATTTCTCGCAAAACGCGCGCTTTCGCCAGTCTCCAGCCGCATCACACATAGATCAGCGCGATTACCGCGCGTTTCCTCGCCCGTGTTTTACTACGCCCTGGTTCAACTCATCCGTTTCCGCGTGCGTAGCACTCGTACGTAAACATAAGTATACGTACGTTAAAAAACGGATGCAAAACGTTTGACTGGAAATCAGTCTTAACTATGTGTTTTTGCAACCGAATAGACCTTATGCATAATGACATCACAATGCTTGATGCCCACGAGGAATGCTGGTCTTAGTAGTCATCGCCCGAGAAAATTAAACAATTCAAAATGACCACTATCGAATGGGGCGATGACTACTAAGACCAGCATTTCTCGCAAGCATCAAGCCTTGTGACGTCATTATGCATAAGGTCTATTGATTCTTTTCGCTTCGGCTGATTGCATGTTAATATAACACGGTCGCTCAATGTCTAAACAAAACTTTACTCTACTATGCATGGAGCCGTTGTGTAATACGCTGCAATATTTATGCAACTTACAAAACACAGCTGTATGTTATCCAAATAATTTTCACAGTGAACTTGTAAACAGCGTTAAGTTTTGCCCAGCGTTCTTTTGAATACCCCCCAGTAACATGCATGAAGTTGTAGTGATGTCATCACTAGGTTGTGGTTGTCCCCATGGATACGAACGAGAACATGTGCATATAAATGGCGGACTCCAATATAAGTTTATAAAGATATACTCGTTGAAAGTGAAAGATATATTTGATAGTTAATATAAAATAGAAGTGTCTGAAGATTGGGTTGCGTTAACATATAAGGCACACTGCTTGAAAAAATACATCTTCAGAAATTGAAACTTACTTAAGTGATGTAGATGAAGATTTTTCTGAAGCGATGCTTTGTGAAGACGATTGTTTACTTGTTGACTTGCTGTCTTCAACATCATTCACTTGCACCGATTCACTAAATATTGAAAGATAATCGCAATTTATAAAATCCAGAAATGCAAATAACACTAAAGACATAAAGAGCAAAAACACGAACATATATTACCTTGTTTTGGTCTTTTCGTCTTGTGTAACTATAAAAGATGTACAGACGCGCGTATTAATAAATGTATTCGCTTGGTTTTTCTTATACTAAAATCATTCCCCGTTAAAATATTTCCAATTCCTTATCTAAGATTAGGATTCCAGCTCGTTATTGAAAAAATGGCTTTGCGCAAGTTTATGTCGAAGTTATGATTGTACTAATGTTTTCTTGCGTGTATTCGACTTTTGCGCGCTGTACACCTCTTTATGTTGCATTTCGCAAAAAGAAATATATTAAACTGACCTGGTTTTTCAGATGTTACCTCTTTCTCATCTACTTCCTGGAAGATAAAATCACAGTTACACTGAGAAGAATTCTATATATAATGAGCTTCATGTATCGATGCGTACCTGTTTAATGTCAGCTTGAGATGTTGCATTTTGAGATGTATTTGTAGAAATCACATTCATCTATAAATTACCATGAACGTTTATAAACAGATGGGCATTATCTCTTCCCAACTTCTGCAGTCATGGTTTATGGAACATTGCAACGGTCACGCATTGATACTTGGAGAATCTTCCCCTTCAATGAGCTTTCCTCTACAAAGGCATGATCACTGATCTAATGACCTCATTTTTGTTTTTGATTTCTACTGATCAAGTATATTTACCTTGTCTTTAGAGTCAGGTGCTTTCCTGTGAAACATTCCTTCAGGAATCATTTCTGATTTATGTGTCCGTAATTTGCCAGCATACCTGCAAAATTAATGTACAGTCGAACCTCTATTAAGCGGCCACCCTCGGGGATCGGCTTTGTGGCCGCTTAATAGAGGTGGCCGCTTAATAGAGGTGGCCGCTAAATAGAGGTACGCAAATAATAGACCCTGGGCTTAGTCAAATGTCTATTTTTAATTATAAATCACAGAATACAATAGAGATTTTATCTTTAACTCTCAGTTGCATCTATTATAACATTTTTTTCACAGGAATACATTGTGCCAACAACACGAGGCCATCACACTATCATATTTCACACTAAACCTTTTGAACAAACATTTAGGGACTATTGTGGCATAAATTTATTACTAGGACACCAATATGGTTCTCATTACCTATATCTAAATCTAAAAATCCTGCAGGCTGGCCGCTTAATAGAGGTAAAAATTGACATAAAACATCATTTGGGACCGCTGTTTGGGTGGCCGCGGCCGCTTAATAGAGGTGGCCGTTTAATAGAGGGATAGTTTATAGTATTTGTATTACAAAAATTTCGGGACTTCGATATGTGGCCGTTTAATAGAGAGTGGCCGTTTAATGGAGGGCCGCTTAATAGATGTTCGACTGTACTTCATCAAAAACACTACATGTATTACATAATTAGTAAAAACGAAGCTTAAAATTAATGAAATCATAAGAATTGAGGTTGAAGTGCTATACAATTTTTCGTGTTAGAAATTTTACAGAACTTACCCAATTGCCAAAGCATAAAGATCTTTTCTCTTGTCTTTCTCTTCTTCACAAATTCTTTCAACTCTTCTCTCCAAGGCCATACCAAGGTTAGAAACTTTCGGATAATGTGGAAGAATCTGACGTGAAAGAAAATCAATGTTATAAGTTAATGATCAATAAGCTCAAACACCCAGAGTTCCAAGGCATGTATTGAACCTGGACTGGGAACTCAGACTCGTTGAAAGTAAATGCTTAAAATAAACACATTACAGAAACACATACATCATTACCGTAAGAGCTTGTTGTCCCGCAGGAGAGGGTAAAACCCGAGCAGGTATATATATAAGTCCCTGTGTATATATGCCGTGTATAATTGGAAAATATCTCAGTTTGCTCAGTCTTAAGGCCGTAAAGGATCTCTGGGTCATTGCCGCAAGGAGTATCGGGAATGAAAGGTGTGAACGCAAAATGAAATGTGCACAGATAATTGATGCGTGTACATGTAGACACAAACAAGAGTACTTTTCTGTCCTGGTGGAGTCTTAACGCCAAACCCTATTATCATCATCTTTTCAATTCCCAGTATTTATTTCAAGTAATATTTCAAAACTGTATGGCAGTGTTTTGTTGCCTTGGAAATCGCCCAGCAAAATAGATCATATTTCTCAACACTCCGTCTTTAGGTTTACGTTTTACAGCTACGAATCGAGCTACAAATTTTTTTTCGACACCATAAGAAATATTTGGCCCAATTGAAATTGCTTGGGGCTTGAACGAAAGGTCGAACCCGAGATTCATGGAACTGACATGTTATTGATGAGATCCTGTAGTTTAACATGAATCGTGACTTAATACATAACAATAACCACACTTTCCATCCCGGCAAAGCGCAATCATGTAAATATAGAACAGACTAAGAAATATGCTTGCATGGATGCATGCAATGCCAATTCATGGCCGCTTTAAATCATTTGCATGTTCAAATATTTGCAACAAAGCTGCAAAATCCAAGTGCAATGATTCAATGATTTTTATTAACTTTTCATTCGAAATAACGACGAATCTTACTAACGAAGAAGAAATTCAAATTGAAACTACTCAATGATGCTCGACGTTACAATAAGTCTGTTAGGCCATCTATAGGCGTAGTCATAAAGTGGAATTCAATGGCAATATGCATCAATATAAAACATCAGCTAGTGGGGGCAAATCTCTAGCAGTAAAACTATAAGCAGACTTAAAATCTAAATTTCCCTATGATGTTAGGCAAGGAATTAACGGCTCATTTAGGTACGTTTCGCATACTCTTTCACAACAGCGTGCTTTCAATTAGTCATTTGCAATCGATGTTACCTTTGTGAGCTGCCACGCAATTATGAACTGCCACGCGCGATAAGCAGTATATCAACATGCTTTCTTTCTCAAGAGAAAATCCAAGAAATATGACGGCAATTGTTTGCTCCACACTCACCTTAATTAAGACCATGATCGTGTTCCTTATTTGTGTATAATCCTTTGATTCCAAACATACAACTAATGCCTAAAACAAGAAAAGTCAAGGTTGATATTGTGTTGAGCTTATTACAGCTATTTAGTATTATGTTGAGCATATTACAACTAATTATTTAGTCAGGGTTGATATTATGTTGAGCATATTACAACTAATTATTTAGTCACGGTTGATATTATGTTGAGCATATTACAACTAATTATTTAGTCAGGGTTGATATTATGTTGAGCATATTACAACTAATTATTTAGTCAGGGTTGATATTATGTTGAGCATATTACAACTAATTATTTAGTCAGGGTTGATATTATGTTGAGCATATTACAACTAATTATTTAGTCACGGTTGATATTATGTTGAGTATATTACAACTAATTATTTAGTCATGCAGGGTTGATATTATGTTGAGCACATTACAACTAATTATTTAGTCGGGTTGATATTATGTTGAGCATATTACAACCATGGATACTTATCATCTTGAAAAAATATTAGAAACACTTTCGAGTAAAGGCCCATAGTAAGGAAAGATGCCAACTACCGGTTCGTGTTCTACAAAGTTCCAATAGCTTGTCGTATTCTATTTTTATTACGTTTCTCGTTCCTTTTTTCATTTCAATATTTTACAAATCCAAATATTTTACAGCAGCAAAACATTGATTCCTGTCAGTGGCAGACACTTTGCAAAATCTTGTGAATTTAGATCGCCACCATATGATCACCTTTTGTTGCTGAAAATCTCAGCTCTTTATTAAATTAAGACTTAAAAACTTTTGCCTTAAATTTCATGCAGTGTTTTATTCTTAATCTATAGCCGACCAATGCTTTCATGGTTGAAAAATTATTGTTACAGCTTTTTAAAGAGTTATTCAGCTAAGACTTTCAGAAATTATTGGGGGGGGGTGATTGCCCCGTGTCTGCCACTGATTATTGTTTAACAGTACCTTTGTCAGTTTATATTGCCACTTATGACAGACATGTCGGAAGTTTTCATAATCTAGATGTTCCGCTTTATCAGTATTTGTCGTTCTTAAAACTGTCACAAATCCAGGATAGCTTCCACATTCCTGAGAAAGAAATAATATATGATCTCAAGTTTCCACGACGTTTTATGTACTATATATCGAGATCTTGTTGCCAGGTAAATGCCACATAATCCTTAGCGACACAATTTAGTGTCGCTATAAGGATTGGAATACAATCTAGCATCATACAAGAGATTAGCTAACGCTTATTTACGTCGTTGCCCTCAGTCTATTAACTGTGTTGCTACCGAATTCACAACATGGATAACTCACATATACTTGGGAATGCTTAACTTTGTTTCCGTACACTGGAACAATAGTATAACTAGCCTTGCGAGTTGAGGAGCGTGCTGGGTCTTTCGGATTTCCAAATGCAAAATGTGTTTTGAGAGAAGGAATGTTTGACTAAATTTGACGTGTTGAGAAATAAACACCTTTACCAATTGAAGATTTTTATTACAATGTAATATTATTCTGAATGTAATATCCACTGTAAGGACAAATGCTGACAATATACCCATGGAAGGCAGTAGAAGGTGTATGTACTCTTCCCACTGTATAATAGCATGTTGTGTTATGGCCACATAACAATGCACAATTGGATAAATAAAATCAACCATCTACGTATTTACAGTACTTGGGAAACAAAACCTCTTCATCTCACTACTGTCTGCATATATTCTCTAATTATATCTTTCTTGTTCAAGTTCTTACAGCAATTTGCTTTAAAATATAGTAACTCTAGTACATCATGTCTTAACTAGTACACGACGCTTCCAGAAATTAGTTTGATTTCCCCCCAATTTTTAATTTAAGAAACCCACGATGCGAGGGGCCATGCACAACGAGTTTTTCCGTCCCTGGCCAGCACGCCCACCTGGAGAGTTGTCTAAAATTGCGCAGTGGGAAAAAACAAACGTCAGCTATTTTTTCTACTGTATTAATTACTACCAGTAATGAAATCATCATTAATGAAGTCGTTTTTAGTTTTACGACCATATTGAATTCATAACATTGAAATACAACATACCTTTTCATAAGTCTTTTTATCCTTGTGCCAGCGCATGACAATTTCCAGCATAGATGCCAAGAAACGGCCTGGAAATAACAAATACACGATGTGGTAAACGCCAGTGAAACAACAAGCAGAAACGTACAGAACAAAGAGATAATCGATGTTCATTTATTAAATCACAAAGTGATAAAATAGCGAAAAGTATGAGCTTTGATTGTTCGACGATAAGCATGGACATATTTAGAGCCAATCTTACATGCATAAAAACTCTGGGGAATTAATCACGGTACGTTCACTGGACAAACCCAAAACGAGCGAATTAAACGAAACATACTAATTAATATGCTTCATAATGTAACACATACCATATCTGCTAGCCTCGCTTTCAGTCAGTGTAGTTACTGTATAAGATATATCAGAGAAAACCTACAGAATAAAAAGAATATTAAAAAATTCAATTTACTGTTACTGTGAACGAAGGTGAAAGTTTGAGACTAAAAATTGTCGTTGTTGACTGCAGAATAAATTGTTTGTTTTACTACTACAAGCTAAAAGTAGACCGAGAAGGAATTGCGCGAGACAGATGGACATTGAAGTGACATCTTTCGGAATGCTAGCGTAACGTTTCTCGTAACCTTTTATATCCCGAAGCTGGAAAAAGTAAAGAACGTCAGCAGGTATTCTGGAGGTTGCAGGTTCAATCACTACCTCTGCATTACCCCCTGGTTATTTGTGGTCACGTGACTGCCACATTTTGTCCGCCAGAATAATTTGTCGCAAGGAAAGGGTATAATAAGTCACTAACTTTCTCACGAAGGGCCTTCGCTCGAAATGTCGAAGTTTTTCTTGTATTTTTCATTTTTCAAGTAGTTGAATCCCTATCAATCCGGCGTTTATTGGTATAATAAGTCATAATTAAGGCGATAGTGCATATCTGAAAGGTTTCTATACGACAGTTGTTTGAATAACTGTCGGAAAAGGAATTGCAAAACACGTGATATGCATGATAATGCATCCTCATACTCAGGGTCTTTCAGTGTGTGAGAAAATAACCTGGGTACGAGGTTGATGATGATGTTGTACAAAGTTTCACCCACAATTTGGGTAAACCACGGAATCGGAAAGATCATCGGTTGGAAAGAACATCGTGGGAGGGCCTAAGTATATCTAATTACACTAGAAAAAGGAACAACTTACATTACCAATAATAACATAGGATAATACTCACCCGATCAAAACACAACAATGTTGAGAAGTTCGGCGTCTTCAAATTATGAAGCATGTGTACAAATTTAGCACAGAAAATGGCGTCACTGGCGGTAAAGACACATCTTGGAAATATACACAACTGTAAAAGCTGAGTGACAGACTCGTTTTTTGATGACTCTGGAATGGAAAATTAAGAAATCAGGTAAGAACATGATGTGGGAACAAAAACGTTTGTTGTTAACACTGTCACTTTCTATCACGCCTCGCTGTTTTAAATCTTGTAGAAGGGCGCACTCGAAACAACTTTTAAAAACATAAAATCACGGAAATCTCAATATCAGATGAAATGCTCAAATTTAACTATAATTCTACAGTGTAAACTATACTTGATCGCCACCTATAGTTTCACTAATACTTACGTGTACTCAAGGTGAGGGTACAGGGGAAGAACGACCGCCACCCCCATCCCCAATATATGGTTCTATAAACTAATCATGAATAAAGCTTGTCCTGGAATCCCCTACGTTTCTGGCGCCATTGGCGACTTTACTCACTCGAAGGTATCCAATTATCTTGTTCATGTTTCAGCCATTCCTTCACTCTCTGGGTATGTTGTTCTTGTTCCCTCTGTTCATCTTTGAGTTTCTCGATTGCACCTAAACACCTTTCCTTTTCTTTTTTCTTCTTACTAGCCGAGTTCTAAATCACAATTAGAATAACGCAATGTTGCAATCATTTCAAACTGAAAAGGCCTCAGGCGATGTTTACAATGAGCCGTACATTAAAAGCTAGCCCTATCAGTAGGCTTGGTTTGTGATTTCAAGCCCTATACTAGGCAAGATGTCGGAAACCCAATGCCAAGGCCTCACCTAGGAGGCTCCTCTCATATATTTATTGGACACATATACTCAATAATTTATTAAATTGGACACATAGTCTTGACCACCAACATTTGCATTATTTGGGAATACTGTACACTATTTTGAACTGCTGAAAACAAACATTACCAGTTCCTTGTTCTCATCCAAGTTATTCAACAAATCATTCATTTTATATTTCTCCGCGTCATAACGCTCCACAGGAACATGGAGGTCGTACATTGTTAGAGACCAGAAAGCAACATATAACTGCGGGCTGAAAATTAAGTTTAGAACTGCTCAAAAACATGTCATGTTATCAGGCTTTTAGCCAGGATCCTAAAAGAGGGCGTCCAATTTTTGTATAACGATACATCTACAGTAAGGGAGGGGGAGGGGAGGGGGTTTTCGAGAAAACGTTCCTCTGGAAAACCTTTGAAGTTGACGTTACTTCATGTCAGAATCTGTTCCAAGCTCGTTCGAAATTTTTTAAACACACTTGGCTTTGTGAGTTTCTGCCGCTATGCTTGTTTACTAATGACATTTTCATTCAGCCAGGTACACCATTATATTGATCAAAATGTCAAATGTATAATAATAATGAGAATTGAAGCTATTTCGTTTCAGATATATTAATATACTTAGGGAAATAATTGAAAATAATTTCCCTTTTCTCCCAGAATTTGGGCGTCCAAAGGCGTCCATTTTTTGTTCTAGGGGCGTCCCGTCCCAGGACGCCCTTCTGGCTAAAAGCCTGCATGTTATTGAAGACCTGATTCTATTATCTTGACATATCTACTACAATTAAAATAATGGCTAAATTTTATTAATAGGTTTAATATTTGATGTGCATTATTCCCAGTGAACTGAGTGCATTTCTATTATTAACTGTGAGAATGCATTGATTGGTGAAGCTGTGAAAAGTATTACGCGTCTCGGATCGTATATAATGATGAATAAAAAAAAAGCTTATTAATTATCATCGCTATAATATAATATTTGTATAGTTATCCACACAATCGCCCAGATTAGCTAAAGCTACTTGCGAATTAGTGTATATCCTAATGTACTACTGTAACTATAAATTTGAATAATATTTTTTAATATTAGAACAACGCCGACATATTTCCCGAAAATTTGTGTCTGCGAAATATTTCTTGAATACAATTCGCATGGATAACCGAACTTGCGTGATTCTGTTGACATGCATGTCTCTCTCGCTTTTTTCATTGAATTAATTCCCCATTGAGTGGAACGAACTTCAAAATACACTTGTAGCACACTGGCGAAACAATTTTTCCCCCAAAGCCAAATTTATTAATTAGCGCATGCATTAAATCACTTCGCTGCAAAATGTTTGAATTTCGCAAAGAAAAACCGTTGATGGAATCAGGCCGATGCATAATTGATACAGTACTATGGCCACAATTACCATGACAAGAAACTGGAACTAAGTGGACGCTCCTCTCGAACTGTTTAAAGAAATGGAAAAGTGCCCCATTTTCTGGATTAACAGGGGGCGAAAAAATATGATATGAAATCAGTGATATAGAGAATAATACATGGGTGCGCGGAAATACCAGATTTATTTCGAGTGTTGAACATGATATCTCACGAGTGAGCGCTGCGAACGAGTGAGATATCATGTTCAACACGAGAAATAAATCTGTTATTTCCAAGCACCCATGTATTTTTCTGTTTATTATATAAACAAAATTCAGTGAAAAACAATAAAACGTCCGTGGCAATGCGTTTTACAACAAATGATATTTTCACACGTAAAAATATCGTATTTTTTACGTGTGTTTAAATACGATTATTCTCAGTGGCCAAAAACTCTATATAACACTTATGTTTATATAATAAATAATGTTCTTTTACGCTGCCAGTAGGAGCTTGTTGCATGAATGTGTCCGTATCAAAGAAAATTCGAAATGATTTCCCTGTCCAGGCGACTTTCAATTTCATTTTCAGCTAGTGAAGCGAAGAAGTATCGATAAGGCAATCAGGGTTAAACACCTAGTTACCATGACAACGCTTTGTCATTTCAAATATGTCAATTCAATTAGACTGCTGTTCATGCAATCAACGTGTGGATAAAGAGTACAATGAAAATTTTTACTGTACAGCATTATACAGCATCATTAGTCTGCTGTACAGCATTATATGTACAGCTGTATACAGTATTATTAGTCTGCGCCTGGTTCCTTGACATTATTACCTGATATTATTCCAAACTCTTAATGGATGAAGATCTACAACGTTTAGTGTGACAGGTTCCAACACTGAATTCACAGCATTTATATACAGCTTAAAGATTTGCTGAAATGATAAAAAGCATTAATAAATATCTGCTAATATAAACTTGTTGTTCTCTTGGAGAATTATTAACAGCAAACACTTACTTTTTGTGATAAATTCTTGGATTTCTCGCTCTTCTGGGTTTCTTCAAATGTTGCCTATATTGAAACAATAAACTGTGAATGAAGAATTTGACTGAGGTTGCACCTGCGTCCAGCTTTTGAATTGGACAGATATATGCAATCGTGTTTGACTGAAAACAAACATCTTATCATAGCGAATAATCAAGCAGCCGCGTTTACGTTGGTATACCGTTGCACATTGCATCAGATACCACATACATGGATTCAATCATTTTGCTTAATACATTAGTTCAAACAATCGAGTGACCCTAACTTAGTCTGCGTACAATCTCATGACATCGATGCAAATTCTCCATAAAATATTAACAGAACAGGAGCCCTTCATTGCCAATTAATAAATGCATGCCAATAAAGATAATGTGAAGCTGTTATATCATCCAATTTCGAACGTTCTTGCCTTTTATATCACACACTCATTTCAACACACTCTTTGCTGTCCACGAATGACTATAGTGCAGCCGTGGTTTTTACATTACAGACGGATTAGATTCCTCAGAAAGAGACAACGAAAAACTTCTAAATTGTTTCATGCAAGAGATGATCATTTACAGTAAATCTCTACTGAAACCGGACTCTTTTTAATGTGATTGTGATTCCCTTTCTCAAATTCTTCCTACGGAGTAACTATACATTTTCTGAGTTGCGGCTTCATTATACATCGTTTAAAATCTCTGGGCAAGTAAACATTTAACATTGTTCAAACAGTTGAACAGTAAAACAATATAGGTGGTGTGCAAGCGTGCAACCATTTCCATGCAAAGAAACTATAAGAACAAAGAGATGTTCGCCACGTTAAGAAAAAATAAAATTGCAAACGAAATCTTGTGTAAAATTTCAAAATCTACACAACAGGCGAAGATGACGTTAGGCGAAACTCATAGTTTACAAATTCGTATGACATGGGTATCAAATCTAATTCATACCTGAATTTTATTAGCAAACATTGGTCTTGCTAAAAAGAATGCAGCATCTTGAGTTACATAAAAGTTTTGAACGAGATCTTCTAATGGAGGTAAATTATTATCATAATCTTCGCTATTTAATTGAGTCGCTAAAAATCCACCAAACTGAACCATCGTGTCGTGACACTAGAAAGTAATGAAACATGCACTTTTAGAAACAGAACTTAGTCGACATTTGATACGAAACTTTTCACATGACAGATCGCTGTTGTGATGAAAAATATTTTTTAAATATTTCTTAGTCTAGAAGTGAACGCGAATGTTTATGTTGCCATGGTATCCAGCTGATGATTCCATCTCTTTTTAAGTTTTGCTAAGAAATTATTGCCGAGAAACAAAACATCTATGTGTGTACCGTTGGTGGAACGTGCAATATTATGTGTATATTACATGACATTTAATATGTATGTATGACCTACAAGTCAATCACCTTAGACCCTCTTTTTCATCATTTAAACGAATAATTACATTTATTATTTATTTAAAAAATTCATGGCTAACAGCTAACTGTGAAATTGTCATATCAACTCAATGGCTAACCAAATACGGATTTTTCACATTCATATTAGCAAAATGACATCAAAGAGTCGATTTGGACGCGTTTGCGCCATATTACAATGACGACGAGAATCGTATTGACTCGCTGACGCCATTGATATGACGCAACGACGGCTGCCGAAGGACTAAGGAATTGTTTTTTTCTTAATACAAATAAAATACAAATGTTTGTTTTGAATTTTTTAAATAAATAATAAAACAATTATTGAATTCGGTTTTCGCACAATATGAAGAATTATCAAGCCCTCAGTTTGCCGAATTTGAAGTTTGAAGAATTTGAAGTTTGAAGAATTATCAAGCCCTCAGCCTTCGGCTTCGGTTGATAACGGCAAACTGAGGGCTTGATAATAACGGCTTATTGACCGAGCGTGAGGTCTGTACTGTGAAATATCAGATCGAGGTTTTTTAGTATGGATCGAGCGACGAAGGAGCGAGGTCCATGCAAAAAAACAGAGGTCTGATATTTCACAGTACAGATCGAACAAGCGAGGTCAATAATCGGTTTATTATATGGCTGAACTGGGTCTGTGAGCTTATGCTTTTCGCGCGAATTAAATCGGCTATCGTCAGTTTCACTGGGTAACAATATACGGTGGGCATGCATGCTCAATCAAAAACAATTTTGTTTTACAGGTAAAGCACAATTGGAAAATAAATTAAAAAGCAAAAATTTTTTCTGTTTGCAAAGCAAAAATTTCCCGCCAGATAAACGACATCCGGGACACCGGTCCAGATACGGAAAATACGGACCACGGTCCGGATATGGATTTTTACGGATCGCTTGTCAACCAATCAGAATAGAGAATTTTGAAAAGCCATATAATAATTCTTCATATCGTGCTCAACCTCATTCAATAATTGTCAAATATCACAATGTCACGTCACGTATCATAAAACATATAGAATACAAACCTGGTCATAAAGTTTGCCAACCAGCTTTAAATGTCTGTTTGGAGGTTCATCAAGAAAAATGACAGAATTTCGTTGTTGCGCCATTAGTATACAAAGTGGAAAAGCCAAGTCGCCGTCCATTAAAGTATCCCGTAACCTTTGAGAGGATTTCTTCGTATTTCTTATCTGTCCAAACCAACCGCCCTAAAATTGCAAGGAGGAAGACCTTTTAAAGCAACATGCACCAGCTGGTTACAGCGACAAACTGAAGGCCGTTTATGGAAGGATAGTTTAAAACCCAGTAGCTTTTCAATACGTGAGAAGAGTTCATTTTATAAAATAACATGTATATAACGCGTGCTCTGATTGGTCGAAACCCGTGTTTGGATCAGGCCATCCAAACACGGAAATTTAAAGTGAAAGATTTTTAAAGTGAAATTTTAACACGGAAAGTTGTTATTTTATAAAACAATTACTTTATGGTTTCCATGTTTGGATGGCCTGATCCAAACACGTGGGAATGTTGCCCGAGTTAAGAACATTCCCGCGTGTTTGGATCAGGCCATCAAAACACGGAAACCATAAAATATAATTGTATATTCTCATGCATTTTCAGGGTGCGATAACTCCTGTACTTACGTACCGGAGGTACACGTACTTCTTTGTTTTAAGTTAAGTACTACGTAGGTACGCTGGACTGTAACTATCTGCGTACTTACATTTTACTGGTACCATATGCCCAGCAAACTTGCCATACCCAAGAGTATTGAAAACTATTTAATAAAGTAGCTATATGTGTAAATCCGACATGTCTTGGTAGGAAACATGCTTGCACTGATAGGATGAGATGGGACTAAAGAATGTTGGAGTCAATTCTGTGTTTGTACATGCAAACGTGCTCCTCCTTCGTACTTCTCGTTTCAGGATACAGAATGAATGCCATTCCAAAAACTATACTTTATGTACTTTATCTAGGTTTTACCAGCTTACATACGTGGCAGTACGGCTAAAAATAAAAAATTATCTCATCCTGATCTCACGAGAGAAGTGATGAGACACTTCATCTGCGTTACAAACTAAACAAATGCATCACCTTGTTAGACTGGACGATATTGGTTCTATAGAAATTTTAACACTTCTGTGCGATTTTTCAACCACTACAGAGACGTTCATATTTGACTTCCACTGCCACTACCTCTCACTGGCTTAGTACGCATCTGATTGGTTAATCGGATATATCAAACGCATCTGATTGGTTAATCGGATATATCAAACGCATCTGATTGGTTAATCGGATATATCAAACGCATCTGATTGGTTAATCGGATATATCAAACGCATCTGATTGGTTAATCGGATATATCAAACGCATCTGATTGGTTAATCGGATATATCAAAGCATCTGATTGGTTGATGGTCCTTTAATAATGCAGATGGTAGCGGTAGTGGAATTGTGAACCTCTGTTCTGTCTCACCTCAGCACGAAGCATCTCTCCTCCTGACAGAGCTTCAATTTGATCCATGGTCACTTCCTCTGAAATCTCAATCCCCGACATTTTCTGTACAACCTCTCTTAAAACAAGTAAGTCAGAACTTTTGCCAGCTTTCAGTTGGTTGGTAACATATTGAAGAAGACCAGTTAGTTCGATGCTATATTTTTTAAACACTGTTCCACAGAAAACAGCAAGACCTGTGGATAAAAATAATATTAGGATACAACATGGTCACCCACAGTACACACTTTAATAAAAATGATGATTGTACCTCAACTACAGCACCTCTATTGCGATGCCCAAACGAAGTTTCGCATCATGGTTGGCGCCGAGCGGAAAATGTAAAAAAATTTGAGTCTCTACATCGTTAGAAATGACATTTTCTATCGAGTTTTTTCTCTCTTTTTGTTTAAGGCCAAATAAAAATAATAGTTGGTTTCAGGTTTCCGACCGACCTGTCAAAAATATGACCGACCATATACATTTTATTGACATTTTCCAGTAGAGATCATCTTTTCGTAAATAGCAGAATATACAAATAGTCATCAGACTCATATGTCTACAAATTATTTTGTTTGCTTATAATTTAATCATTATCTAGTCATGTTAATCATAGTTTTACACAAAGAACAGTTGAATAAAATATTAAAAACGTACATTATTCTGACATGGCAGAAAAAAGACGAAAACGCCTTGATGCGTTTGTTTCTCGCGAAACACATGTAGCTCGCGGGTGATCCAGTGTGGCACATTTGATCACGCATGACAGTTACTCATAAACAATGGCGGCGCGAGAAAGTCCGGCATCGCCGATTGTTTTTGTTATTTCAAAATGTAGCCATAAGCCTGGATCCAGAGCATACATAACCTTGAACGACGGGAAACAAATAAAGGACATATTTTGGGAATATAATGATAGGGTATGTTGCGGTGTGCCCATTTCAGCGGCAACATCGAATGACGCGATGAATATTGATAAAGGTCCTTG